TTTAAAAAAAACATATTAAAGAAAGAGGATATGAAAATCACACCAAAATTAAGGGTTTTTCAGCCTTCTTAGAGAATTTATGAACACAGCAGAGATATAGAGGATATGGATTGAATTGATAGTAATGGTAATAAAAAATTATTATAATAATACTAACTAATGTAAAGTTCTTAGTTCCTGGCACATAGGAAATGCTCCATGACTGTTGGTCACAATCTTACTTAATTCTTACAGCAATCCTATGACATGGATTTTACAATCATCATTTTATATATCAGGATATTGGTGCTTAGAGTGTGTCTGACTTGCTTAAAGTCACGTAGCTTGTAATAGGAGAATCTTGGATTCAATCCAATCTAAAGTCAGAAAGAAATTGAGTCAGGTACCACTTCTATCCAGCTCCACAACACTGGGCAAGTCAACCCCTGTGCTTAGTTTTCTCATCTGGAATATAAGCTAACCAAAGTACCTATTTTTGTTAAGTACTACTATAAGAAATAAATGAATTAATGCATATAAAGCAATTAGAATACTATTAAGCATATAAGAGGAACTTGGAAAATCTTAGTTATGATTTAATAACAATAATAACTTCCTCAATAATAATGGCTTAATTCATGTACAGTTAATTGCAATAGCACTTAGCATATAGCAAGAATTTAATAACTCTAAGTTATAATTTAATAATAATAACTATCATTTTTATAGTCTTCTCTATGTCATATTTTGATATTATTACTATTCTTACTACCACATAGAGAAGAACAAAAGAACTCTGATTATTTAAGGTTTGAGGCATCAAAGAGTGGTTGGCTGTTTTACCCAGAACCTTCTCGCACACCTCGTTATCAAAGGCTGATGCTGATGAGGTGGCTAAAGAGTGAAAGAAATGTGTGGCATTGGCATTTCACATCACGTAACACCTCCTGACTGTTTGCCTTGATGAGGCAACTGGACAGCTCTCGGGAATCATTCCTGCCTCACCACAGCTCTTCATCTCCAGGCATGTGATGCTAAATCTTTAGGGGTTTTGGTTCCAATGAATGAGAAGCATCTTGATCCATACCATCCTCCATCCCTGAGGAGAAGGGAGGCACACTTCATCCCAATGACTCATACAATTTCCTAGAAGATTATCTTTCCTGCAAGGACTCAGTGGAAATGACGGTGCATATGGACGAAGGAAGGAATTTGCATATATTGCCCACGTCATTGGCATCAGGTTACAGAAATATGGGCTGCATATTTAGAGTAAAGATGCATGCTGTGCTAGAAATTCTAGGAAACATGGGCGAATCTTAATGCTCAAGCCAGAGGCTGATTCTGCCTTATGTAGTATCATTTATCAAACTCTAAGCAGGCTCAGATGGATCTGAAGGACTTTTAAAAATGCTTTTTACAGCATCTCCATGTTACCTTAAATCTTCATACAAAAGAAATATGCAGAAATCTAGCATTTCTGGGAAGCTGGAGATTCAGTATAATAATAAAAGAGAACGTATCACTTTACTAGCATCTTTTCTGTGTTTTAAAAGTACAATGAAGCAATGATCCAAATAAGACAGTTCTATTAAATATGCTTCATGAAACTGTGAGAAACATCTTCTTGATCCCAAACCTTAGAGTCTTTCGTTTCCCACTTATTCCTGAAGTCTAGCAGGAATGGACTACAGACACATCACTATGTTTGGTTCTGTAGAGATAAGAAATAAGTCAAGAACAGTTTTTGGTTCTTGTGTGGAGGGGTGGAAGGCAAGGAAAGGAAAAAGCAAAAAACAATCTAGAATTTCAATGGAAGACACCTACAGAAAAGTGGGAAAGGATCAGAGAAGGATTGGGGAAGAAGGCGGACAGGATAGTAATGTGAAGGGACAGGAAATACATAACCCAGACTCCTTATGGAAAATAGGACACATACGTGGCTTGGTCTAACAGTAATTTTACTTTTTTCTAGGCAGACTTACAGGACCATCCTAGAGGTATGAAACGAACGCATGTAAGACGGTTTCTATCTGATAGATATGGGACGGAAGGTTCCAATGACTGAAGGTGACACAGCTTCCTTGATGAAGGAGTGGACACTCATGCTGTCCTGGGCTACCCTCAAGTTCCGAACCACTAACTATTAACACACATGAAATAAGGTGGAGACAACAGTGCTTAGACAATTCAAACAAAAAAACCCACCACTGATGCCTCAAGGATTTTGGTACCTGCTCTTCCTCTCTCCAGCTATATGATCTTATATGACTTAATACACCTCAGTGAGCCTCAGTTGACTTTTCTGTAAAATGGGAATAATAATACTATCTATACAGGGTTGCTAGGATTACATTTAATTAAGCACCAACTTAGGCTCTTGACAGGTAAAAGGAAATCAATAAATGATAGATTTTATTATAATAATGATCATAACGATGTCAAAAGAACCAAGATTCAGTGTCTCTGGACCACAGTTTTCTCTTATGTAAAACCAGAGGCTAAGACATAAAGCCCATCCTTAACCCACAGGCCATACAAAACAGATGGTGGATCCAACTGAGTCTAAGACCATCATTTGCTGACCCCTGTTCCAGGCGAAACTCCATAAAAGGCTTTCTCAATGCCTGTCTGGAGAGCCATTGGATCAGTCCACTCCCACTCTGTCCCACTGGGAGGGCTCCAGTCTCCTCTGGCGACCCCACGGCCTTCTCATACCCCCTCTATGAAGAAGTAAGAACAACGGCACTTACCACATGATCATGATCACTAACTTCATTACAATCTCATTCAAAATGTTGAAGAACTCCACCATCAGCTTGGCCTGCTCTCCCATTTTCCCCATGGCGATGCCAAAAGCAATGAAAAACCCTATCAGACCTGTTGGGTCAATCACACGACACAGAACAACGCATTATAAAGCATGTGTTTCTTCTCCCCTGTTCCTTACCATTCCCGACGTAGGGAGCCACGTACTCACTGCAGGTCACCCTACAGATGAGGCATGAAAAGACAAAAGCATTATATTGCACACTGAAAGTATCTTTCCCTTGGAAAATTATGGCGTTCCTTCACATTTGCTACACGAGCAAGTTAAACCGTAAACAGTGTCAGTTCCTTGAAGAAAGTAAATTCATTTTTATTTCAAACTAAAAGGTGCACTCTTCTCTCTCCCCTCACTTATAAAATCACGCAAAATCATGTGTAAGCAGATTCCAGTATTGCATAGATACATGAGGAAAGGCTTGTTGGAACTTGGGGATTATCTTGCAAACTTTGAGCCAATATTGGAATGTCCTAGACCAATTAGCCAATAAAGTCTTTGCCAAGCTTATGTCTAGATTGCTTTGGTGTTATTCCAAATTAATGCATGGCTGGTATGTTTCAATCTAAGAAAATCTTAAACATAAAATTATTTCTTTATTGCTATACACCTAACATGAGAAGGAGGAAAGTTTCCAATGGAAAGCAGTAAGAAATCGAAACAGGTTGGGAAACCCCAATTTACCCAGTTTGTTTGAGTTTAACCTATTATTTATTAATTTGTCATAATTGCTTTCATGGTCAAAATGGTTAGAATGCTTTCTTTTTTAATTTACTTTTTTCAGGATCATAAATTCAGAACATAGATTTCACTGTCAGATTTTGCTAGTTCCTAGCCCCTCAATCCTCCTCTCCATTTATTTGATATCTTCAACTTTTAGGTAAGTTCAGCCCCATACCAGTCTCCAGGGCCAATCCTAGCGCCAGGCAGGAAGGATTTGAGGAGCTTGGTCCCTGTTCTTATAATGTCAGTGTCAATTTGCACTAGGTCCTGGAACAACTCCAATACCCAACCTTTGGTCTTATTTCTGTGTCGGCTTTTGCCTCATCCCCTGTGTCTGAGGTCCTGGGAACTCGCCCTGTGTTTTGATTCCTCCATGGCTAAACCTGGCTTTTCTCTTCCCAGAAGATTCTCTCCCCTCCACTGTAGTCAGACCTTTCCACCCTCCTACCCAGGGACTGGGCACACTGTGTGGCCAACAGACAACCCCAGTACTGCCTGGGGGCTGTCTGGAATGCTGATTGCCAATCACCGTGTGCCCCCAATCCCTGAACTGTCATTGTCAGTCTTGGGGCCCTAATTCTACGTGAATGAACTATATAAATCAACGTTGCTGTACCATTGGGTACAGGACTTTGCTTGTCCACTTGACTTTTTCTCTAACCCCAAGTATGAACCATCTTCTCTTCCCTCTCCCTTCCCCCTCTTCCCCACACTTACACTGTCCCAGTTTGGCGGGCTTAATTTCCAGTCCCTCCCTATCATATACTGTTGTGTCCTTATGCCTAGAGTCATGGCAAGGTAAACTATAGTATTATCGTTTGATTCTCTTATAGGGGAATTCTTTCTCTTTGAACCTCTGACTTTACCCTTTCCCTTAGTCACCAAGACCACTAACCTCTCCATACCAAGCATATAGCAACCCATAGCAAGCACACAGATTGTTGAACTACCCTTTGCTGGATCCTTTCTCCAGCAAATAGAATCCAGTGCTTGCACTTGGAATTGTTAATACTTGGTGTTTAATATCTAGCCTTTTACTTTTTGGCCAGAAAGCTTGACAAATGACTTCACAAATGAGTTACTGGCCCAGGAAAGAGAAAGGCTTAGTGAAGATTAGATCTAGGAGAGAGTGGTCTAGTTCTGCAGTAATGTATAAAATTGATTCTAGGCTATTCCTAAGCCCTTTTCTTAAGCCCATCGACAGGAGTTTGCTAGGTGTTTGGTGAGAAATAATCTGTGAATATTCTGGCTAAGAATAGCTAGCATTATGTGGTTAATTCCATTTGGAAATCTTAAAAGAAAATGCAGGGTCTCAAGATTCCAAAGAACTGGAATAAAAAACCTCCCCTCAGGGTCAGCAGAAATTGGTCATACCTATGAATTCAGGAGATAGATTTTTAAAGGACTAACTGAAGTTGATTGAAGCTGTTGGATTAGGGTGGATTGCAGAGTTGGTTCTGAGAGGTTTCTTAGGAGAGAAATGGGTCCTTAAAGAAGTGGGAGGCCAGAGCCACGGTTGTATCTTCATTTATTACAGTGCTTAATCCTTGGGACTTTCCAAAGCCAAAAAACGGAAAGACAGAACAACAACAAGAAAAAAGCCATCATCTTCACCCTTGGAATATCATGGAAAGAACCTTCTTTCAGCCACAATTTGTAAATGGGAAGTTTCTCAACAGTCTAACTTCCCTTGGCTTTCCAGAGCCTTGAACTGCACTTGGTTGGAAACCCATATTTAGCTCTGTAAACATTGCCTAATTGAAATCACTCACTGGAACGGGGGTGTTTCATTTGAACAAAGCCCTCTTAGACTTGGTCATTGGGGTTGAGAGAGTAGTGAGTTGTGTTGAAACTCCCCAGTAAGGCCAAAGGTCATGTGACTTCCCAGAATCCACCAAGACTCTGGAAACAACAAGGAAAGTCTTCGAATGATTAACTCCAAAGCCTTCGCCTCATTACTCATGGCCTCGACCTTCCCCAGAGAGTGTAGGAGACTGGGGGGCACTTGGACAAAGAGGGTTGGGTCTTCAGTTACGACCTACCAGAAGGGACTGGGGCAAGTTGGGAAAATCCTGAAAGGGTCACAGATATCTGGGCAGTGGGAGAGAAGAGCTGTTCAGAGAATCTTTACAAACACCAAACCTCCTTCTCGGAGGAACTCTCCCACTTACTCCTCCCCCCTTCCACCTTCCACCTCTCACCTCCCACTGATTGTCAGCAATGTTTATTGATCTCCATCGCCTGGCAACCTAGCAGTTTATCTCCTTGCTCACTCTCACTTACCCAACCTGCTCCCTGCCAAGCCAAACAAAAAAGATCCACTTCAGCTTCTCAGTGACTGGGAAATCCTGCTCCCTCTACCTCTTTCTCTCTACCATTCTGGAAAGGTAAGGAGGAGGGTTACCAAATTTAGAGCAAGCAGACAAAAATTGCATTTTGAACTTCAGATAAATAACAAATATTTTTAGTATTAGCATGTCCCATGCAGTGCAACGTATGTATTTGGGACATATTTTCACTAAAAAATTATTTGTTACTTATCTAAAATTCAAATTTAACTAGATATCCTGTATTTTATCTCATAACCCAATTAAGGAGACAAGGGCATTTAGTCTCCCAGATGACAAAGGGAAAGGACCACTGAACTTATCCACTTCTAAACAGCTGACACCCAAACCCTTAGAAATCTTGCTTGTGTAGATCAAGATACTTCCTCCATCCACATTCCCCATTTCTTCAAGTATTTGGCCAAATGTCTCTATTTCTCGTCTTGGGAACACCATTCAAATGATGAATGGGGTTATGGAGGGAAAAGACCCACAAGGTGAGTGGGGAGAAAATTGGACAAACTGGAGCCACTCACGTGATGGGAAATCTCTGTCCCCTGTGGGAGTATCTTCTTATTGAGCTCCTCAGCTCCCCACCCACTTTTAATAATGACTATAGTGCTTATGAATAGAACAAAGGGCATGTATATTGTGCTCTATGTACACAATCTCATTTAATCCTCACAATGATATACAGAATAGGTGCCAATCCCATCTTGCTTTTACAAACAAGGCTCAGATTACTGGAGCAACTTGCCCAGATAACCAGTTCATGGTGCATATAGGATCCAAACCCAGATTTGTCCAACTGCTGTGCCAAAGAACCTCTGGATGGCAGCTAAGAAGGCAGCAGCCTAGGGGAAAGAGATCACTGGAATCCCAGAAAGTTAAACAAGACACTCTGTAAAGCTCTTGGGCACCAACTCCAACTTTCCAATACTGGTGGCATTGCATTTGTCTACAGACTGTGACAGCTGGTGTGGCACACCCTCCACAGCTGGCACAGTACTGGGAGACAGGGGCAGCTCAGAAAAATGCTTAAGAAATGAAGGAAATGGACGTGCCACCTAATAAAACAGAGAGTCACAGAAAGTGACTTGCCAACACCATGCAGAGAGTTGGAGGATGTGCCCAGCAAATGTTAGCCCCCCTCCTCTTTTCCCATGTCCCCTCACAGCCCCTCAGTCCCAGTGACCCTCAAACACTCCCCAGAGAGAGCCTCCTGCTCCACCTAGAGGACAAGAGAGGTATTGGTTTTCTGAGAAGGGAGTGAGGGACGCTGACCAGCTGGGACGGGGCAGCTGGCCTTTGTCAGGGAAGCAGACACCTCCCCCGGGGAGATGACCCGAACCAGGGTGCCCACCTAAGACATTCATCCCGTCCTTGAACTCCAGGCCTTTTTTGATCACCATCTTAGTCTCCTCAGGTGCCTCGGTCACAGTCTCGTTCAACAGGGAGATGACAGCATTGGTGGCATTGTCCTCCTCTTCTGACTGAGGGGCCACCAGGACTTTCTTTGTCACTGTTTGAATCTAACGAAGTGAAAAAAAAAAAAGCATAAAGATTGAGTTTGGTCTAAAAGGTCAATAAAAATCTGACCACTCATATATTTTAAGCCTCCCAATATGTTAAAAATAATTAAGAAATGCCAAAACAAGGTTATGGGAATTGGGCAATATTTTATCTCTATGTTTTTTAAAAAATGACATTTTATTACAGACATGCAATGGGATACAATTGTCCTAATCACAAGATAATGACAGAGCTGATAAAACTAATTTGTAAACATACTGCAAGCAGTGTGGTCCAATAATGGGACACAAATTTTAAAATGTCTGCTGGAGTCTTTTTCTTTCATTCCCATGATCGGAGCTCTGTACCTCAGGGACAATATCAAACATCTAACTCGGTTGCTCTTCACAACTGAGAGACCCAGTTAGATGGCCCTCCCTGCCTGGTTCCTGCCGGGCAGGGTCATCATAGGCCAACTCTCAGTTTGGGCTCCTTCCAGAGCCAGGCCCTGCTGGGAATCTCCTTCTGGGCACCAGGTGGGCCAGCTGCCAGCAGCCACCATGGAAAGAGCATTTGCTCCTATTTCAGATCCAAATGTATGGTGGGAAGACATCCGCTTTTCCTGGGCAGTGATGCCAAGCCTTGCTCCATGTTCCCCAAGCATCTCTGTGCAGATGGTTCCCAGGGAACCCCTCACACTATTCCTCGACATCCGTGGCAGTGGCTCTATTTTTAAAGGTGCCAGGCACCCTGCATGCAGAGTGCTGTGCAAATCCACATCTGAGCCTAAAAAAACACCACCTCCAAGGGCATTAAAATAGAACTCATGCGGAACCCTAGAATGTCAGTGCCGGCAGGTAGTAGGTAACAGATGGCTGAGCCATGAATAGATGTGGAAGAGGATGCACAGAGAAGTCAAGTGACTTGTCAGACGTCATAGTCATTGGCAGAGCTGAGACTTCAACTCAGATGGCCTGACCACCACTGAGTTCTTTCCACCGTCTATGTAGTTTGTTAAACTATTTGGACCCAATCATACTGCAGCTAGACCCGACAGTAAGCAATGCTCAACTGACCAACACCCCGAAATCAGAGAGAAGGGAGGCCAGCATTCTCTGAGGTGAGGCAGCGAGCTCTGTTCTAGCCCAGCCACATGCACCTGAGCCAGGAGAGTGGAGGCCAAGGCTGGCTGTGCAAGGCGGGGATGGGCAGCTCGCTGGCCCCTTGGTGTAGGCAGCACTGGCATAAAGAGAGAATGCAGAAGTGGGCAGGAGAAAAGCTCCTGTGAACATCAGAGTCATGCTCCCAGGAAAGAAAAGGGGATCAAGATCAACTGTAGACCCATCCTGAGAATGCTAAAGAAGCCAGCACTTGGGTTAAACAGAATAATGGTCATGGACCTGAATAAATGGTGGCTGCCAGGATCCGACAGAAGGCCAGGTGCTACAGGTTTTACACGTATTACCTCTTATGTCTACAGTAGCCCCTTAAGGCTCACAGGCTAAGTAACTAACCCAAGGACAGACTGCTAGATAGCTCGTGAAGCTAGCTTCAAAATGAACTATGCTTGACTCCAAAGTCCAGTTTCCAAATAGCGCAGGCCAGCAGCTTAAGTTGAAGCTGAGAAGATAGGAACACTGAACCACAGGCCTAATTCTCTGCATGAGTTCTTGATTCACAGAACCTGTTTGGGTTGGACAACTCCATCTGGATGGCAGCTCGAGTCTACCCATGTCCAGGCCACCATCATCTCTCTCCTTAACACTTGCAGAAGTCTCCTTACTGACCTACCCACCCTTCGTCTTGTACACCTACAATCTGTAAGCGAGAATGGCTACGTGTAGCTCTAACTATATCCATAGCTGCTAGATTGTTTTTTAAAAAATAGAAAACAGTCATCTCCCTTCCTAAACTCTCTTAGAATAAGAACCCAAATCTAACCCTGGCCTTCCAGGTCCCGCCTGAGCCAGGTTTCGCCTCCCTCCACTCATTCCCCACACGGCGGCTCACACGGGCCTCCTCCTCTGCTCTGAACCTGGTTCTAAAGTACTAAATACTTCCCGTCCTCTGCAGGTCTGTGCCTCTGCTTAGAAATCTCCTCCCCCAGTTTTCTCAGGCCCAGCTCCTTCTGGCCTCCCACCGTCTCAGTGCAAACACCTCCTCTAGCTCTTCCCTAGCCCGTCATCCTGCCTATAGAGAGCACACCTGTCTGCGTTTTTACATTTCTCACGTGTCCACGTGATGTTCCTTTTGGCTTATCTCCCTCCTCTTGAGGGTGAGTAAGCTCCCTGGGGCAGGACCCTCGCCTGCCTCATTCCCTGCAGCATCCTTGTGCAAAGCAGAGAGCCTGGCAGCCAGTCGTGTGCATGGTGCTGGCCGAATGAACACACATGGATCACTGAATCCCCTGGAAGAAAAGAACCCCGCTGTGGTCTCTACTGCTCGGTTTGACCTAATGTGGTCAGGTCACACCTTACAGCTGGTCACTCTCTTGGAAACCTCACTTTGATTCAGAGTCAGCCCTAACAGCCCTCAGGAGACCTCCCTGCTCTCAAAGACATGGGGGCCCAACTTGGGCAAAGCAGGTCATGCCAGCTTGGGTGGGCAGCCTCCACTCTGGGGACAGCTCACCTTCCTCTCCACGTCTGTTTCTAAGTCTGGTCATGAAGCCCCCCTCCATTCAAGAGGGGCTATTTGAAATCACTCCAGCCGTGCTTAAGGTCACATAAGGCACCTCTCACACACCCTTCCCCTCTGGTGCTGCCGTGTCACTCTGAGAAGAGTGACCTCCCTTCAAGTCTTCTTCGAGGCCCTCCTCGTCAGGCTATGGAAACTGCACCTACCCTCACCCTGAAGTAAAGGATTCTACACTATTATTCCTTGGATTGTCCTAACCCGAAGCGAGTGTGACCCTGGGCTAAGCTGGGGGACTAAGGCTCAGTCCTACCATGAATTTTGCCAGTGAAGGGGCAGGGTCAGGTTTAGGGTGGGACAAAGGATGGCTCAATTTTCTATTCCAGCATTGCAGACACGGCCCCTTGCCATGGGCAGCTATATGCAAAGATTGCCCATCAACCAGAGAGGTCACCAAACATGAGCTTGGACAACAACACAAAAACTCACTCCAAGAGCAGAGCAACAGCTGTGAGCACCTGCCTGCTTCCTGGTCCTGCCTTCCCGACTGAGATGCAGGGTGTCTCCTTCTTGCATGGAGCGATGCCATGACCAGGCACAGAAGGAGCCCAGATCTGTCCTTCCCAGCCCCTCCCATGCTGTCCTACCCCCAGTCTTCTACTAATTCAGCTTCCGGCAGCTATAGTTCTAGAGCACTCTTTCCAAAATGTTAAGAATAGACTTGGCACCCAGTTGTGTCTATCACCTAAAGCAAGCAATTCATCTTTCTAAGCAGGCTGGCTGAGAGCCAAGCACATTATCCAGAGGGAGCTTCAGTAAGCACCCCCTTCTCCAGCCTACTTCTATTCGCCCCCCATCCAACTGCCTCTGCCTGGAATGGTTTCCTTCAATATGGGTCCATGCTATTAGTGCCACCAAAATGGCATTTGAAATTGGAGAACTGATCCCAACCCAGAGTAATCTGGGCTCAGCAGTGGTTGGCCACTGAATATCAAGGGCAGCTAGAAATATAGACTTTTCCTGTAAGCTCCCAGTTTCCCAATTTCATTCTTCTGTGATTCCCTGGAAATGTTGGAAGGAGAATTCTTGGTTACAGCTTAGTTCCTACCTGAGCTAGTGGGAACTGAGGTGAGTTCTAACCTAAGCTGGTCTTGGGGTTAGACAACAGGCTGTTGAGTGAGGTCTAGGCAGCTAACTCAGTGGTTCCATTCAGCAGAATCATCTTTTTCTAAAACTCAAAAATTATATATGCCTATACGCAGTCAGTAGGAGAACACCTTGCTACAAACTTTTGTAGGGCCATTTTGCATCACTCAGCAAATTCAAAATATAAAACTCTTTGTCAGGACAATTTCACTTCTAGGAATTTATCTTTTAGAAATACTATGCAATCATGAAAAAGGAGAGTAAAATTGACAGAGAAAGAGAGAGAGAGAGAGAGAGAGAGAGAGAACTCTAAAATACTGCTAAATGAAAAACAAGGTGCAACATGGTATGTACAATGCAGTATGGCTTGGGCTGAATTTCTTTAAAGACCATGCACCCATACACATGCATATGTGGCAAAGAGAATATATGGGAGGACACAAAATTTTTAGCGCAAATAGCTCTAGGGTAGGGGGGTCAGGCTTCTATTTTTTATTTATGTGTTTCTGTACTATTTAAACTTTTCTCAAACCTCATGTACTACTTCCTCAGTTTAAACAATACCCACATCTACATGGGAGATTCTGATTCTATAGGGCATTTGTATTTTTCAAAAGCACCACACATGATTTTGCTATCACACCAAGATTGAGAACCACTGGGTCCTCAAGAGGGTTGTGGGCAAAGCAGATAAAAGTGTGGCTGCAGATGACTCAAAGACAGGAACAAAAAGGAAAGAAAGAGACAAAAGCAAAAAAAAAAAGGAGAAGGAAGATCACAGAGCAAAAAGACAATAAGCAGGGGAGAGAACACCAGGTTACCTGTTGAAAACAGGCTTGCACGAGGTTTTCAGGGAAGAGATTTCGAATGAGGTCCAAGAAGGCATCCAGGCTGGACACCTCATCCGTCTTCTTCCCAGGCCCCAGCTGCTTCTTGAGTTTGGGATTCCCCGGGTGGATGGCCAGGACCAGGATGACCCCCAGCACAGCAGCAATGATGGTTGTGGACATGTAATATACCATGGCTCTTGTGCCTAGGCGGCCACTGGCTTTAGCATCCAGGCCAGACAACCCTGGATTGAAAAGAAATCTAGAGGGATTAACTCTATCATGTTTTTGCTAATGACCCATCTCTGCATACATATTACTCAAGTGCATTAACAACTAACTAAACCTCCTACTGCATATGTGGTCAATCCCACAGTGTACAATTTCAACTTCCAATGACATTTTCAAGATTCTAGAGAACTAGGGAGAGTTGGAGATTATCTGGTTCGGGGTTTACAAACAGTCAGTGACAACTTTTTTGCCAGTCTGCAATAGTGAGATAAAATAAAGTTGATGTTATTCCATTTTTAATTCTGAGATAATGTCCTTTTCACTTTTTATGGTCTTAAGGTATTGTTTCTTTTATAAAGTGATGGTGCTGGTCATGCTAGTTTTTTTACTTGTTTACTTATTTATTTTTGATGTCCTCGCTTGGGAAAATAAAAAGCTGAAGGCCTATGTCCCGCTCACCATGTCTTTTCAATACATCACTAGTAACGGAAATGCAGAGTCTGACGACAGTGACTCAGCACAGCCCCCTCATTCCTTCAAGGCGAAGGATGATGAAGATCCGCATCTCCCAAGCCTTGCACAGACATGAGAGGACACGTGTGTAAAGCACCCGCCAGTGGTGGGCGCTTCATCTATACCGCGGGAGGTTAGAGGAAATTCCAAGCAAGTCACAAAAACTCCAGCCTCCATTGGGTTTTTTTCCACTTGTTTCTTCAAGTTGCCCACTTCCTGGTTTCAGTTTCTGCTGTTTCAGAGAGATGAAACCCCTTTCTGGGGACGAGTCCTTTTCACCATATGGAAGGAAGCCTTTGTTGTGAACGCTCTAGATTAAGCCGATCCACGTATGACCCACTTCTCTTTACAACCTAAAGTCTAATTCCAGCCAATGGAGGTTCAGTTTCCTTACCAGGTTGGCCAACGTATGATCTGTTAAACAGGCACGAAGAACATTTTGTCCAGCTTGGAGAGGAGCATTGAAGTTTTGCATAGTTTCACTGAACCTATGGCTGAATGATTAGACCCCACTTAGCCCTTGGGTGCCCAATCCTGAGTCCCAGTGTTTCCAGGAGCTGGGCTGACTAGTCAACCATCTACGAGACTGTAGAACAATTTGACTTAGATCTGAATCTCTTCCTTCATGAGATAGTCCAGAGGGGAAACTTCTCAAGGTCGCCTAGCTTGTTGGCACCCAAAATACAGACCAAAACCCAGCTTCCTGCTTTTAACTCAGAGCTTAGTGTCTAAATGATGCCAATTTATACCCTGTTTGAGCAATGTTATTTGGTAAGGAAACTATCAGCATAAGTCCATGGAGGAGGAAAAAAAATGTTTCAAACAAAATAATTAATTCTTTTCACCAAAAATAAGTGAGCATGAGGCCACACATTAAGGGTAACTTTGTTCTAAAAAAAAAAAAAAAAATCAGAGGGCTCTCATATCTAGCATTTCATTTATTTTTAATGCCCATCTCCCTCCATGTCCAATTCAATAGTAAAGACAGTTTCTTTTTCCATTTATTACCTTTACTAATTTCTGAGCAAAATATAATTTAGAAAGTTGGGTAAAGTATACATTTACCTGTGGCTGTGTTTCCTCTTCATCTTTTGTTGTTAGAGAGACAGATGGACTAACCAATAGATGGCAAGCATTTTTTTTTTCAGGGTTAATTATTTGCATGTTAGAGACAGGAAAACCAAGGCTTGAAGTGAAATGACTCAGACAATCACATTACTTCACTCAACCAAATGGAGGTTCTATGGTCAATCCAAAAGCCAGAGCAGGAGTTTGACCCACATTAGCTAAGCACCAGGGTGGTCGACTTACCTGTGATTAAACTGGAGATGATTAGAGGGAGGATGAGCATTTTCAGCATCCTCATGAGTATATCCCCTGGGAAGGCTATTAGCATAACCACGTCAGGGTGGATCGGAGACGCCAAGCGAAGGAGCCCTCCACACAGTGCCCCCAGGATGACACCTACAAGGAAGGGCAAAACCTAGATTTATTTTCTGCTCTTGTCAAATGAATATCTCTAGGGACTTATTTCAGTGACATTGATCTTTCTCGTGCTTCTGTATTATTAGATGATGAATAACATTCAACAAAAATGACATTACACCAGTGAAGCTGATTTGGATGCCTAGCCAGAGAACTATCTGCAGCTCCCCCTATTCTTTTTTTTTTTTTTTTTTTGTCTTTTGTCTTTTTCCGTGTCCGGCAACGGATCGCAACCATCAGTGTCGCCCCCGCACTGGACAGGGGACCGGCAACGGGATCGCAACCCTCGGTGCCGCTCCCGCGCCTCGCTCAGCCAGCGAGCGGGAACCGGTCTGTATGTGGGATCCGAACCCTCGGGCGGGAGCGCCGCCGCGCTTCCCAAGCGGCGCACTATCCAGTGCGCCACGGGGCCGGCCCCAGCTCCCCCCCTATTCTAAAGGCAGCACCAGGAGAGTTTAGAGGAGCTTTCTCAAGGATGTATGTATGGGAAGTAGGACATGCGGCCTGACTCCTGCTTCTCTGAGGGTGTTGTTTACTTGCAGAGTCAGAGATTGTCAGTAGAAATACCCCACAGTGCCAGATATTGCTTCTCTCCCAGCCCTGGCCTGGCCACATGGCATTGTGTTTAATGTGTGTCTTCCCTTTTTAACTGGAGGGCAGATAAAAGAAATAATTGATTGGCCAAACTAGTGGGATTCTTTTTTTTCTCCCCATCTATTTTCTTTGGCTTTCAGTAATTTCCCTATGGCTCACCCTCAAGGTTTGTCCTTGACTTCTACGTCCTTTAACGTAGTCGTTAGATTGCAAATCTAATGGGAGCTCAACGAGGGGCTCTAAAAATATATAATTTGGGAGGAAAGAATTTAGGCAGAGATGTTGGCAGGAACCTTTCACTTTACAGATTCAAAGATCCCATAAGAAAAATTTCAGATCTCTGCAAACAGTGGCCAACATAATTGACCCTTGAGGAAACCACAAGTTAGATCATGGGGCCACTGGCTGTAAGGGAGGGAGGGGGTTCCAAGGTATGTGGGCTATGGCGATAATTCCAGGAATGTGGAGGGAGTAATGTTGCCAAAAGCCTGATTTTTTTTCTTCTACAGGTGAAAATCATACTGTCCAACTTCTTCAAGTCCTATGATGAATGAGATCTGCTTACATGGAGGGTAGCCCTCGGAAAACCTGACGGTGCCTGTGGTTTCCTGTTATTAAGTGAACTGAGCTGAGGCACGCTCCCAGTCCAGACACTGGTCCACTGACATTCAAGATGACTGACTCAAAGGAGAGGCTACGGAATGGAGGGTGTGCATGCAGGTGTGTGCAGGTAGATGGGGGTGGTGGTGGTGAGGAAAAGTTGTTTCTTCCCTCTCTGTGTAGCCTAAGTGAGAGCTGAAGAACAAGAGAGGGATTGACAAAGGAAACGGTGTGCTTATAGATACAAGAGCCTGCAACTTGCCCTGTTTTCTACAAACCCTGGTGGAAAACCTAAGACAGAGATTTTATCAACAGTCCAAGAACAGCTGTAGCCTGGGTGAGGTCTGATGCAGGGGTGGAAGATGTGAGAGAGGACGCTGGAGCAGGTCGAGGCATTGGGACTAGCCTCGTCCACACTGACCTAACTTGCTAATGTGCTCAATTAGTCCAAGTTAATGACATGTCTGGAGAAACTCACACCTTGGGAATCTTTTTATTTTTATTTTTATTTTTTATTTTTTTTTGTCTTTTTCCGTGTCCGGCAATGGATCGCAACCCTCAGTGTTGCCCCCGCACCGGACCGGGACCAGCAACGGGATCGCAACCCTCGGTGTTGCTCCCGCGCCTCGCTCAGCCAGTGAGCGGGAACCGGTCTGTATGTGGGATCCGAACCCTCGGGTGGGAGCGCCACCGCGCTTCCCAAGCGGCGCACTATCCAGTGCGCCACCGGGCCGGCCCTTGGGAATCTTTTTAGTGGGGTTTTCTGGTCCTTTATCTTGATGCAGGTATTTCTCTAAGTGTGGTTCACTGACTACCTGCTTTGGAGTCATCATGAAGGTGTGCTAAGATGCAGATTCCAAGGCATCATTTCAGATAGCCCAAAGCAAAGCCTCCATCTGTATGGCCTGGAAATCTGCATGCTAAAAACTCACAGGAAATTGATATGCATAAAATTTGAGAACAACTAGAATCCAAAGGAGGAGAACAAATGGCTAACACAGGTGTCAGGGAAGATTCTCTCATGAGGCAGCAATGCCTGGGTAACAGGTATTACACGAGCACATGTGGCTGCCAGAAGCCAGAGCCAGGAGAGTCCCAGAGAAGAGGGCTTGGGGACAGGCCGGTGTCGGGCACCTACCTAACACCGTCAGCGTGAGCAGGAGATTACTCCCCAGCTTTTCACACAAGCGCAGGCCCAGATGCCGGTGCTTCGGCTCCTCCGAGGTGAGGTGGCTGTCGTGCATCCGCACTTCCACCTGCTTGGGCATATTGTTGGCACTAAAACAGAAGTGGAGGCAGTGAGTAGAGATACTGGACACCTCTCCTACACAGTTTCAGGGGCTCAGATAGTAGCAATTTCCTCAGGCACAGCTGGAATCTGGTACCATTAGCAGGAAAATAAAAAAGAGAGTGATTCAGGGTATTCTGAATTCCAGCTCACCTACCAGCATGACAGCAGGATGTACTGAATGCCTACGGGCCACATGCTTTTATCCCCCATATCTTGGATCCTCACAGTAAAGGAAAAGAACACCCCAAGAGGTGATAGAGTTTCCCCAAGAGTTGCCCAGATGGGAACTCTGGGAGAGAAGTATCCCTGATCCATTTTACAGAGAATAATGTGAGCGTTGCCTGTGGTTGTAAGGCTAAAAAAAAAAAAAAGGAGAAACAAATCAAGATATGTCTGGCACTGAAAACTGAGCTCTTTCATTCTCATAACAACAGCAAAAAGGTGATTTTTTCAAGAGAGTCACAGCCTGAGTTATGCCAAAATGTAAACGCCTCCAAGCTCAAGTTTTCCCCATCCTGGAAACATAAAGGTCACAAATGCTGATAATCCAAGTTTTATATCCCTTTGGGAAAAGATGGTTTGTTCAGTTTTTAAAAATTCAATCCACTGTGGTTTTTAAAAGGTCACTTGCATTATCAGGACTCTGCTAAGCTTCCCAAGAGCCAATACTACTGCGTCAAAGACATATGGCTCCAGGAAACATTTTGAAGGCCTTCATCTGTGGGTGCAGCCCAGGCCTTTTCCAGGTAACCCCCAGATGAACCTAAGCCACCTTGGGAGTCTGTCCAGTGGAGTACTTGCTGGGGTGTTGGGTATCTTGCTCTTTTCCCAGCTTTGTTGTTTCCCAGGGCAATAAGATTCTAATTTTAAGCTTAGGAATTGACATAGGAGGCTATTTTTTTACTTTTACAACTTAGGACATTTTTGTAGCTGCCATTTACAATCACCATCATTTGATAAAAGAAAAAAGTGTGTTTAACACCTAGAAAGTCAGGCTGCTGTCTCTGAATAGATGACCATGCCTTCCAAGATATAGGAGTGTTACTTTTACCCAGATATTCTCACCACAGACTGGAGAAAGCTTCTTCTGGAACCAACACCAACCTGCAGACCAGTGGTTTAGAATCACTAGCTATAATGGGAATAGTGTGGCTTCTAGAATCTGAGAACTTTGGCTTCATATCCTGACTCCATCACTCTCTAGCTGTAGGGTGTGTAGAAAGAAGAGCCTGATATCTACCTCTGAAAGTCAAACAGAAGTATGCCGGCACAGTACCTGACATGGGGGGTTCCTTCCTCTGGGGAACATGAAGAAGAGACACGTAACATTCGTCAACTTCATGATGAGGATGACATGTTGCACTGCCACCCAGTTGGGCATCTACCCAGTTGTACTGCCATTCAGGGTATGGTCCCAACAAAAGTCACCTAGTGAGAGGACCTACCCAGGGGTCTACCCAGTTGTACCGCCATTCCAACAAGACACCAAGAACTCAGCTTCCAGTCTCAGTTAAGACCAGGGACAACTAACACAATGACTTACTTCCTCATCACAGGCTGCTCACTATATCTGCCACCAAAATGCTTTAAAGCTGGGGATGATATCACATGGTCTGGCAGAATACTCAAGAAGAAAATATTAATCAAAATACAAAATTCTTGGTCTTCCCTCAGTGACCTAGTTTTCCACTCATCTAGTTCATTTTCAGGGCAACCACTGACTTCCTGACGTGTGAGTGCTAGTGATCGCTCAGACAGTCTGCAGAAGAAAACAGGTCATGAGTGCTCACGGCACGCGGACAAGGGCCTTTCTGATCAGTGAGGAGCAAAAACCACCTCCTCCCCTGCCAAGTGAAACAGGAAAGTTCCTTTTACAACACAACAGGGGAAAATGATCAAAACAATCTTTTTAGCATGAATAGACCATATTTCTATGTTTGCATCGGGATCTGTTTGCATGTTTAAACATTTCTCCAGCCAGTAATTTGAAGCTCTACACCAGGAAATGGTGAAAAGAATGGAGATACAATGTGCTATAAATGGTGAATATGTTCCCTCAGCCAGCCCTTGGCAAAACTCTACGATCCCTTTGAGATTGTTAATCTCCTTGCCTTCTGCTTCATTTCAATTCCTCCTGCCATTGAAATTAGAATCATTCATATGGTGGTATTCAAGTGAGACCAGTCAGTATTTATAGCAAACATTCTATCAAGACTCACATGACATAACAAAAGTGTCAGGCATCAAAACAGCTATGTCAAAGGGAAAACACACAAATATTAGATTTACCTACACACCCAGCTCAGAGATGTGGCTGAATGACTGTTGCACACATTTCTTAGTTGTGCAAAATTGCTGCATGTTAAATGATTTGTTTTTTAGGTTGTGACAAAATGTCCTTGAAGCCCTGAGTCAAAACAGCCACATCAAAGTGGCAGCATCGAAATATCATGAACCCACAAGTATTTACTGAGAGAATTCCTGCGACTTGCCCTCTTGGAATTAAACAGATGCTACAGACTCGTAAGCATTCCTGATGTTTTCACATAGAGAATAATTTTTAAAGTAAATCAGGGCCTGAGTTTGTGTCTGGGGACACAGAGAGTCCCCCAAGAACCCTTTGTTAAAGTTCTATACCAGTCTAACTAATCACTGCATCTCCCAGAACATAAAGAAAGCATGAAATGGGGAATATTATGGCATGTAGCATTATAGAATATTATGTAGTATAATACAGAGCTGCTTCTAAGTCTATATGCCTTCAGCAGAACAAACATAACTTTTTTTTAAATGAGTTCATACACACAGCTATATAAATGCTGGTTACTGAATGCATATGGTAATAGCAGCAATAACAGGGATGACTCACATTTATTGTCTCTATACACATCAGACACTATGCTCAGTAGTGAGTAAGGTACGATTTACTCTTAAGGAGTCTTTACTAAAGAGGGAAACTGAACGTACATTGTGCCGTAATTGTCTGCTCTATGTGTGGGCCTTGATAAAGCTCTGCACAGGACGCTATGGGGAATTGCAAGAACAATGCCTAACTCAGGTTTGGGGAAGAGAAAAGGATGTTCAAAAAGAGCTCCCAGGAGGATCTTGGATCTTAAAGGATGGATTTAATCTAAATGTCTACATCCTCCACCCATCCACGAGCTCTAGGAGAGCAGGACTATGATCTTTAACACCTAGCTTTGAGTGTTCAATACATGTTTGCTAAAAGAAACTAAGAATTGAAAAGCAGCTCTAAAGGGCACCTTGCTTTCTCCTGGGAATGAGGCCCTTCTGCAGATAAGCTGAAAGCATAGCATACTACATCAGCAAGCCTCTTACATTTCCTGCACGTATTTTGCAGATCTCTATCGGGCACATATTACAGGCCCCATGCTGTTCCAGGGGCTAAAGATATTGCAATAAACAAAAAAGACAAAGCCTTTGCTCTCATGGAGTGCAAACCTTAGTGGGAGAACAAATAAGTGGATACATATATTTCAAGTGGTGATACAGCTAGGAGAAGAGTATAGGAGATGGACAGCAGTGTGTGGGGAGGCCATGTGATTTTGTATCATGTGGCCAGGGAAGGCTTCTGTGAAAAGGGAACATTTGAACAGAAACCTGGGAGAAATGAGGGGTCTCCTTAAATTAGTTATGCAATTTGTATAGTACTTAGCAAATAAATGGAATATACACAATTTGGAAATCTGTACAACCACCCTAGAGCCCCCACCAGATGCAATCCCCGGTGTCCATGTGTTGGTGTTTACATGGGCACTGATTCAAATGAATGTCAGATAAATGATGCTGGGCCCTATTTCCGTCATGAACATGACGGAGTTTCAGTGACCATCCCAGCCCCTGCAAGAGAAATGGTTCACAGGGAAGGGTGAGTTGGACACAGGCAGAAGGCCAGAGGTCACAACAGACTGGGTTTGCATCAATGAGCAGAAAGGGCAGGACCTGATCTAGGTAAGTCCACTGGACAAACGCAATAAGTCGTTTCAAGTGTGTGCATTTATTCCCTTATTTAATACTCCCTTCCTGCATCCTATGTCTGTGCCAACAGAACAAAGCAGGAAAGAATTTGAAAGCCCAGGAGGAGCTAGAGTACAACAAATCCTAGGAGCCTAATGCTCTCCAACACTGTTGACTCCTTCTGCTTCTGCTTGAGAGCTTCCTGGAGGGGTACTCAGCAATGTAGTTCTCCAGTGCTGAAGGTTTCACTAAGCCAACTCAGCTAGATCTCTCAAACAGCCTCCACTGCCCAGCAAAGTAAGGCCATGTGCTGGGACAGCTGTAGGCATAATTAAAAACTTTAACAATGAGCCTATAATTTCCTTCATCCTTAGCCTCTCCACTGAATTATTTAAACAGCTGTTAATTTTGCAATCGCTGCCCTGTTCTTTCTCACACAAATCCACATGAGACCTATTTCAATGGCAAGCTCAGCTTATCATGCGAATCATCCTCTGTGACTCAAAAGGAACGTGTAATGAGGCTGATGCTAAGTCTTAAACTATTCTCAGAACCTGCTTTTCATTAGCATTCGATTTCCCTCACTCTGCCAAGAGCCTCTAATAATAGGCTCATAAGATGCCATGTTGGATTCAGATTTCCCACTGCACACTTTAGTGTCACCTTATCTGGCACCAAATTCTTTTTCCTCCCTCACTGATGTAATGAGGTGGCAACAGAACTCTCCTCCAGGGAGCCTAAGGCACCTGGTATGCCTTTCCTGGAGGATGTGAGGTCTGCAATGGGCATCACCCTTCCATCCCTCTGTTGCCCAAGTCTAACCTCCCACGCTTCAGGACCTGGGGAGGAACAGGGAACACAAAGACATCCAGAAATTGCCCTAATGGGAGATACTAAGGGCAGACCCTCAACAGCAAAAATACTACTTCTTGAGGGGGCTTTCCCCTGAGATGACTGGTGTGTTTGAATAAGAATGCTGGAAATGCCAGTGGTGTTAGCTCAGAGTACT